ATAGTGGAAGACCTCACTGACAATATTAGACAGATCAACAAGACAGAAAATTAACAAGGATAATCAGGACTTGAACTCAGCTTTAGACCAAGTGGACCTAATAGACATCTACGAAACTCTCCAACCTAAATCAACAGAATATACATTCTTTTTAGCACTTACTCTAAAATTGACCACATAATCCATATAATTGGAAGTAAAACACTCCTCAACAACAGCAAAAGAATGGAAATCATAACAAACAGTCTCTCTGACCACAGGGCAATCAAATTAGAACTGAGGATTAAAACACTTACTCAAAATCGCACAACTACATGGAAACTGAACACCTGCTCTTGAATGACTACTGGGGTTATAACAAAATCAAGGCAGAAATAAATATGTTCTTTGAAACCAATGAGAACACAGACACAACGTACCAGAATCTCTGGGACACAGCTGAAGCAGTGTGTAGAGAGATATTTATGGCACTAAATGCCCACCAGAGAAGGTAGAAAATATCTAAAATTGACACACTAACATCACAATTAAAAGAACTAGAGAAGCAAGAGGAAATTCAAAAGCTAGCAGAAGAAAAGAAATAACTAAGATCAGAGCAGAACTGAATGAGACAGAGATAGAAAAACTCTTGAAAAATCAATAAATCCAGAAGCCAGGTTTTTGAAAAGATTAACAAAATAGACTACTAGCCAGACTAATAAAGAAGAAAAGAGAGAAAAATCAAATAGACACAATAAAAAATGATTAAAGCAATATCACCAGTGATCCCACATAAATACAAACTACTATCAGAGAATACTATGATCAACCCTAGGCAAGTGAGCTAGAAAATCTAGAGAAAATGGATGAATTCCTGGACACATACACCCTTCTAAGAGTAAACTAGAAAAAAGTCAAATCCCTGAATAGACCAAAACAAGTTCTGAAATTGAGACCATAATTAATAGCCTACCAACTAAAAAAAGCTCAGGACCAGATGGATTCATAGCCGAATTCTATCAGAGGTACAAAGAAGAGCTGGTACCATTCCTTCTGAAACTATTCCAAACAACAGAAAAAGAGGGACTCCTCCCTAACTCATTTTATGTGGCCAGCATCATCCTGATACCAAAATCTGGCAGAGACACAACAAAAAAAGAATATTTAAGGCCAATATCCCTGGTGAAAACTGATGCAAAAATCTTCAATACAATACTGGCAAGCCAAAACCAATAGCACATCAAAAAGCTATGTGCCAAAATCTGGAGACAACAGATGCTGGAGCGGATGTGGAGAAATAGAAACAGTTTTACACTGTTGGTGTGGGTGTAAATTAGTTTAACCATTGTGGAATAGAGTGTCAATTCTTCAAGGATCTAGAACTAGAAAAATCCTTTGACCTAGCAATCCCATTACTGGAATATACCCAAAGGATTATAAATCATTCACATGTACACATATGTTTATTACAGCACTATTCACAATAGCAAAGACTTGGAACCAACCCAAATGCTCATCAGTGATAGACTGGATAAAGAAAATGTGGTACATATGCATCAGGGAATACTATGCAGCCATAAAGAAGAATGATTTCACATCCTTTGCAGGGACATGGATGAAGCTGGAAACCATCATTTTCAGCAAAGTAACACAGGAACAGAAAACCAAACACTGCATGTTCTCACTCATAAGTAGGGAGTTGAACAATCAGAACACAATGAGACACACGGAGGGAAACATCACACAATGGGGCCTGTCGGGAGGTGGGAGAAAGGGGGGAGGGATAGCATTAGGAGAAATACCTACTGTAGATGATAGGTTGATTGGGTGCAGGAAACCAGCAATGGCAGATGTATACCTATATAACAAACCTGTACATTCTGCATACATATCCCAGAACTTAAAATATAATGTAAAAAATAATTATCCTTCCAGTAATGGTTATGGTTTTACAGTGAACCTAATCAAATTCTCTTACAGAGCCTATTTTATGATTACTCAAATTTTAGGGAGAAATGACCAGGCTATTTGCTTCCTTCCTGAATATTCTTGAAGGATTTTGAAATAGAATTGATTCTTGTAGAGAGGCAGATACTTTGGTCTTGTTAGCACTTGTAAGTAAGTGGTTCAATGGATAGAATAGGGATAAACAGGTTTACCAGCTAAAACTAGCAGCATCTAGAATGATTATTCAAAGATTCCAAAGTAGGTGCTGAAAGAGCTCCTTCAAGGATTGAAACTGATCAAGTCTGAAAGTTGTTCCAGTGGAAAATGGTAGTACACGAGAAGGCTAGAAGTTGGGGACAATAGAAGTAGCTAAATTAGGCTGAACCCTAGACTTTTGTTCTTACCAAGGAAAGGAATTAAGGAAGTGTGAATTCTGGGTTTCTACTACTGTCCTCTAGGAACCACTGGTTTGGGGGAATTGCCGGTAGAATTGGGCAGAGGATGCCTTCTTTTATGCAGATGTTTAAATGTCCATATAAAAGTTTCTTCTCTTATGCAGGAAGTTGTTAGTGTTAATATACCTTTTAGCTGCATGGTGTTATCTCAATTCATTGCAGACATGTTTTTGTAAAATACAGTAAAAATGCAATACTGGAAAATTGAAATTAAAAAGACAAGCTCTGAGTTTTTATTATTAGACATAACAAAAAAAATCATTTTTTCAAATTGCTCTCAAGTTTCTAAGTCCTTCCTCTCAACATCTGACTCATTGCAGACAGGTAACAGCTTGCAGACTGACATCAGTGTGCAAACCACACTTGAGTGGTTTGCTTCATACTAGCAGAACCTCTCAAACTTTATGAAATGCTCATCCGGGGTTCTGGTATAGATGCAATTTGTATTAGTAGGCTTGGGCAGGCCTGAGATTATTTCTGACAAGCCGATCCTGCTGGTATACAGCCCGCACTTCATAAACTCTTTGATTTTTTACAGTGACAGTGATGTGACACCAGTGCTGCTGGTGTGGGGCCCATACTTCATAACTATTTGTAAGCCATTTTATTTTCACAGTGATCTTTTAAGAATTCTTACTCCACTTTACTCATGTTTAAGTCAGATTTATTGAGATATCCCAAAGTAAATTAACCCACGTTAGTATGCAGTTCTGTTGTTTTCGGCACATATGCACAGCTGTGTGACCACTATCACCATAAGCAAGATGTAAAACAGTTCCATCACCCTCACAAGCCTTCTCATGGTTTTTGTTTGTTTGTTTGTTTGTTTGTTTTGGTCATTAATTTCCCTCGTCTGAGTCCCAGCCCCTGATAATTACTGATTTGTTTTCTGTTTCTTTTCCAGAATGTCACTGTTGACAGGTATCAGTAATTTTTATTGCTGATTAGTATCACTGTGTGAATGCAACACAGGTTGCTCACCAGTTCACCCATTCAAGAACATTCTGTTTCTGCACTCGACAGTTATGAACATAACTGCTATAAACATTCAAGTAAAAGTTTCTGTGTGAAGGTAATTTTCTCAGCAAAAATGTTGACAAGTAATTCTTCTAAGTGTTACTTTTTTAAACAAGTAAAATGGCCTGTAGTCCCAGCTACTCAGGAGGCTGAGGCAGGAGAATCGTTTGAACCTGGGTGGAGGAGGTTGCAGTGAGCTGAGATCTCGCCAGCATACTCCAGCCTGGGCAACAGAGCGAGATGCCATCTCAAATAATAATAGTAATAATAATAATAATAATAAATAAAAGTAAAATGACAGCATGTAAGTGTTTGATGACTAATTCAAGCAGCCTCTTTCCAAGGACAGAATATTCATAGTAGGATTAAAAGAGGTTTTCAAGGACAAATAGAAAACTTGTTGAAGTTTGAAGAGAGTCCCAAAAGAAGGTGATAATTCTTAGTAAGACTGGAAGCTGGAAGTCATATGAAAAGATAAATCGGTTTCAAGATGATTTTACTAAGCAGGCAGCCCTTAACTTACACATTCTAGATTCATATATGTCTTAAACATATAAAATAATATAAGGAAAAGTAAGTTCAGGGTCTGAGTTCCTGGCTTTTGTTGGAACAACTGATTTCTGTGTAGTGATTCAGAAGATGTGAGACAGCCTAATTTACAAGTACACAGGTGTCTTCCTTCCTACAAACCGCAGTACAACAGTTCCTCTTACGCACCTGAGAATGATCACAATTATTACAATCAATGACATCTCATTTGATTGGCGCCTTGGAGAATTAAGATCTTTCACACATACTATACAACCTTGTTGTGAAGGCAGGTATTTATACTCTCATTTTACTGATGAGAGACTGACTACCCGGAGAGACCACGCTGTATCTGAAAGATTAGGTACTTTCTCCGTTAAGTCCAATGTTCCTTTCGTTATTCCATGCTAGGCAGTAACAAGTTCTTGCCTGAGTAATAAACTCCAAACCCCAGAACTGCACCCATCTTGAGAAGGAGGAGGGTGCTGATGTTTTTCTGATAAGTGTACTATACTCTTATTAAGACACTGTACACGCTTAATCACAGGCAGATCCTAGCTAAGCTGTCTACTAAACTAGTCCCTCTTTTTCCCATCGCCCACACGGATGGCTGTTGATCTTTTCTTCAACAAATCCTGGGGTTTCTCCTTTTTGTTTTTATAATTGCTCCCATAGATGCTTTAAGATTGAACTCTCTGCTTCTTAAAGCAGAATCTCCATCCCAGGTGTGCAACCACGAAAAAGTTAGAGATCCGTGAGAGACAACGCCCACCACCGCCCAGTTTCCAGGCAGAGAGAAGCAGCTCTGCGCGGTCCGTCAAGGCTCCGGCCCGAGGGGGTCTTTCGGCTGAGTAAACGTTCTTCAAGCTCCCGCTCCCAGGCCACTGCGCTGACGCTCCAGCCCAGGACCTTCTGGGGGCTTCCTCCCCGCACCCGCGCCGCTGACAGCGGGACTGGGAACTGGGCGGAGGCCGCCCCGGGCCGCACAGCCCCTCCGGAGACCCAGCCCGCCGCTCCCCCACTTCCTGCCCTGCGGAGGCAGCCAGGCCAGTCCCGCGGAGGCCCGCGCGGCCGGCTCCTGCCCAGCGGCGGCGGGACTGGCCACACCCTGCGCGCCGCGCGGGCTCGGGTGGGGTCTCTGCTCCTGCGCCCTGCGCGCCGGAGCCGCGCCCCCGCCAGCGCCCCGAACGCTGTGGCGCCGCGCGCCCCGCCCAGCCAGGCATCGCGCGGCTCCGGATCGCGCCCCGCAGCCCCCTCGTCTGCCGCGACTTCCCCGGCCCGGCCGCCCGCGCCTCCGGGACCATGCTGCGCTGGCTGCGGGGCTTTGTGCTGCCCACCGCGGCCTGCCAGGACGCGGAGCCGCCGACGCGCTATGAGACCCTTTTCCAGGCGCTGGACCGCAACGGGGACGGAGTGGTGGACATCGGCGAGCTGCAGGAAGGGCTTAAGAACCTGGGCATCCCCCTGGGCCAGGACGCGGAGGAGGTGGGTCGCCGCCGGGGCGCAGGGAGGGCTGTGGGCGCTGCGGTCGCGGACCGAGGAGGGCGGCGGCCCGAGGCGTTGCCAAGAGGAAGGAGGAACTGTGGCGTCCGGCGCTCGGTGGCTTCAGAAACTCGGGCATGGGGCCACGGACGGCGACCCCGGTAACAGAAGCGGGTCAGGATACGAAAGGCTATCGTATTTGTCCAGATAAAATGAGTGCTGTGGACACTCTGAGCTACGGGCACTGATAAATCTTTAAGACACTTTTGTTCTGAATCCACCCCAGTCTCTTTGCCTGTTTTCTGTTTTGTTTTGCCTTGCAAACATGTAATCATGTTTAGCTGTCAGACTTCAGTGGGTACCAAGTTCCGTAAAACGGCGCACACATTCGGTCTCTTCGCAGCACCTTTGTTACACCAGCTATGTGTGTCGTCTGTTTCAAAACGGTTTGAAAACCAATCGTGTGTTCCCCCGACTTCCTGTTGAAAAGGCATGGCGACATTCCATTGTTCAAGACATTCCTGGGTTAATGCCCTAAGTACACAAATTGATCTGAAGAGTTGACCTGTGACTGATTTCGTTTTCTCTGAGTCATCTTAACCGTGCCCCTGAACTTCTGCCCCTTTAGTACGGTGGAGACATGCGGAACTTCTCCAGCCCTACTGAAGCCTAAGACGACACTGGCATTCCCTATCCAAAGAGGGAACGTGATTAGGTTTCTATGAGGGCCAACAACTGTTATATCGCTACGTTTTAACTTCTCTTTTAATGTCTTTGGTAGTTTTAGGCCTTTTCAGTTTATCGTTTCTTCTAGAGTCAGGTTTAGTAAGTTACAGGTTTTTTGTTTGTTTTTTGAAACTTTCCATTCTGTCCAAGGTTCATAATATTCACTGATGATTTTATAAAACTTCTGACTATCTGTAGGTAGGTTCTCTATTTCATTCCTGGTATCTATTCTTTTTTCCCCTTCAATCTTGCCAAAGTTTTGTGTATTTTATTCATACTTTGAAAGAACCAACTTTTGGTACTTTTTGCTGATTGTCGCAGAAACGGCCCAGTTGGAGTTTGTCATCATGCCCAATCATTGGCTGGAAGCAGCCCAGGAAAGGGACAGCCGTGCTGCAGTGCATCAGCAGATGCCAGGACTAGAGGCTAGAGGGTGGCAGTCAGCTGTGCTCCTCACAGTATGCGCCTTCGAAGAGCGATCTCAGTGGTACAGTAGGGGTCTCCATGATCCCTACCGTATACAAAAGCTCTTTGGAGTTCTCCATGATTTTTAAGATTGTAAAGGGATTCTCAGATCAAAAAGTGAGAATTACTGCTGTACCAACATTTTTATATAACTGCATCATGTTCTATGTTTGTATCATAGTATATGTTACCAATTCTTTATTAATCATGACTTAGTTTATTGATAGTTTTAAAATGATTATAAGTGAAATTGCAATGGATGTCCTTTGTAATCGTTTTCTGATTCTGGTCCAGTTACTTTCATAGGATAAATTTTGAGGAGTGGAAATTGCTGAGTCTGAAGGTAACACACATTTTAAATTGGGATACATATTGCCTTTCAGAAATCTTGGACTCTCTTTTGACTGACAATGTTTGCTTCTCCACATCCTCGCTCATTCAGGGAATCAGTCTTTATAAGCTCCTATTCAGCAAGTGAAATTCTTTTCACCTCCTGTCTTAGTCCATTTAGTGTTGCTATAATGGGATACCTAAGGCTGGGTAATTTATAAAGAAATGACAGTGATTGAGTAGGCTGGGAAGTTTAAGAAGCGTGGTGCTGGCATCTGCTGGTCTCCTGGTGAGGGCTTTCCTGCTGTGTCACAATGTGGCGGAAAGTCAAAGTGGAAGTGGACATGTGTGAAGAAGCCAAATCCGAGGGGTGTCCTAGCTTTATAACAACCCAGCCTTCAGGGAAATGACTGATTCCTGAGGGAACTAATTCAGTCTCATGAGGGAGAGAACTCACTCACTACTGCAAGAACGGCACCAGGCCATTCATGAGGGATCTGCCTCCGTGACCCTGGCACCTCCCGCTACGTCCCACCTCCCAACACTGCCACATCAGGGATCAGAGTTCAACATGAGTTTTTGTGGGGACAAACAAAACAGAGCACTTCCTCTGCCTTTTTGTTGTAGTCAGACCCTTCACAGGATTGCATTATGCCTACCCATTTGGTGAGGGCAGTCTTCTTTAATTGGTTTACTGATTCAAATGCTACCCTCCTCCAAAGATACCCTCACAGACACACCCAGAAATCATGTTTTGCCAGCTATCTGGGCATCCCTTAGTAAAGACAGGTTGACACATAAAATTAACTATCACACATGGGATAGAACGAGGATTACATGGTCAACCTGTATGGGAGAACATTTCAAAGGCCTGTCAGGGGTTCAATGTAATTGGCAGTGTAATGTCAAGGATTGAAGGGATTGGCCACTTGAGCATAGAAATGATAACTATGGGGAGACTCTTCAGTGGAAGATTTCAACATAGTAGTTTGTATCTAAGGCAGATACTCAACTTGAAGCAAAATCTCTATAAATTTTGTTTGTTGGTTTGTTTTTGAGACAGAGTCTTGCTCTGTCACCAGGTGCTAGACTGGAGTGCAGTGGTGCAATCTCGGCTCACCGTAACCTCCACCTCCCAGGTTCAAGCAATTCTTTTGCCTCAGCCTCCCAAGTATCTGGGACTACAGGCACGTGCCACCACACCCAGCTAATTTTTGTATTTTTTAGTAGAGACAGGGTTTCACCATGTTGGCCAGGATGGTCCCAATCTCTTGACCTTGTGATCTGCCCACCTCAGCCTCCCAAGTGCTGGGATTACAAGCATGAGCCACTGCACCCAGCGCTATAGATGTTCACCTCATTTGATCTCATCTCCATGTTTCCAAGCTTTTGTAATGAATTTAGCATTTAGAAGAGAACAAATTTCCTATGTAAGTTTCTTTAGATTTTAGTATGGAAAGAATATAGAAATAAGAGCAGCATGTAGAAATAGGCATAAGGAATGTAATAGCTGAACTATTACTAAGTGCTCCAGAATTATCCACAGGAAGAGGAAGGAATTCAAGGCAAGTCCTGAGACAAAATTAAGAACCAGTTGGAAGTGAAAGCACTACATTTTTTGTTTCTGAATGTGACCTTTATTTTCTACATGTACCAAATCTCTTCACTATGAAATTGGTGAAGAATTAAAGTTGAAAATTAGAGAAAATTTACATTAAGTTCTAGGACTCAGGAGTATAAGAGTATAGACTGAGACTTGAATGTAGTATGAGAACAAGGAGATACAGTATTTAACCATTACTAATTTTCCCCACTTGTCTAGTAATCCGATTTCCTTTTAAATAGGAGCCCTCATGAATGGGATTAGTGCCTTGTATACAAGTGACCCAGAAGAGCTTCCTTGTCCCTTCCACCACGTGAGGTCACAGTGAGAAGACAGTTGTCTATGGACCCAGAAAGTGGGTCCTCACTACACACTGAATCTGCTGGCACCTTGATCTAGGACTTGCAGTGTCTGGAACTGTAAGAAATCAGTGCTTATTGTTTAAGTAAGCGAATAGTATTTCTGACATAGCAGCCCAGATGGACTAGGACAATTACCCAGAGCAAAAAGGGAAGCAGCATGCTGCAAGAGTTCCATCCTCGGTGTGAATTGACCTGTAATCATGGTCAAGTTTGAGCTTTACTTTCTTTCTTTTTATTTTTTTATGGAGATGGAGTCTCACTCCATTGTCAGGTGCCAGGCTGGAGTGCAGTGGCATGATCTCGGCTCACTGCAACCTCTGCCTCCCGGGTTCAAGCAATTCTCCTGCCTCAGCCTCTCGAGTAGCTGGGACCACAGGTGCACGCCACCACATGAACTTTACTTTCTTATTCTTGGATGCAGAATTCTTAAAATGCAGATATCTAGCCTGCATCCTGGACAGGACTTTTAACAAGGTCATGTGTGGCTGAGTATGAAAGTTTATGTTTTTTTTTTTTTTTTTTTTTTTTTAAAAACAACCCTTCAAAATGTGGTGTCCCATGTACTAGATGGTGAACTTCTTGAGGACCCTTTGTGCCCACGTGTATCAAGTGTATGCTGAATGATCAGCAAATGTTAGATGAGTGGGTGGACTGGTAACCTGATTTAAGGGCCATTCTAACTCTTACATTCTATGATTTTTTTGATTCTCTGTTTTAAATTTTTTACATTTACATAACAGAAGATAGAGTCACATAGAAGAATGGTAGCTTAGCAAATGTTTATTGCATTGAATGGAATCAGAATTTCACTCCATTAAGTAATTTCTCTGTTAACAAGGAAAGTTCATTTCATTAATATTGCTTTTTTTTTTTTTTCCTTCTTTAGAGACAGAGTCTCGCTCTATTGCCCAGGCTGGAGTGCAGTGATGTGATCTTGGCTCACTGCAGCCTCTGCTTTCTGGGTTCAAGTGATTCTTGTGCCTCAGCCTCCCAAGTAGCTGAAATTATAGGCACATCCCACCAAACCTGGCTAATTTTTATATTTTTAGTAGAGATGGGATTTTGCCATGTTGGCCAGGCTGGTCATGAATTCCTGGCCTCTAAGTGATCTGCCTGCCTCTGGTTCCCAAAGTGCAATGATTACAGGCGTGAGCCACCATGCCTGGCCCATTTCCTTAATATTTTAATTGTCAGACACTTTATGGTTTCTGGCACAATATTAAGGAAACGTGATATAGAAGTCATCAGGTACATTTTAGAGCATCACAACAGGGAGTTTATAAAAAAAAACAATAGAATTCCAATTATACTTCTGTCAAATGTTCTAAAATATATAAAATCTGTATCTTTTCTGTTTTCTCCTGATTTATAGTCTAAAATCTGATGTTATGCTTCTTTGCGGAAATAAAGTGCTTGAAAGAATGAAAAAATGGAAGAATTCTTTAGTAAGGCATAAAATACCCTTTCCATCTTTGTAGCATTCTAAGCCTTTTCAGTCTATTTTCTAAACTCCCCACATGCCCTATTCCATGACTGGGCCACAACCATGTACACTGATCCCTTATTTTCTTCTCTCCGCCTGAGAATTCTCTCATCCCCCCTTCTCTACCTGCTGTATGATTGCCCATTGTTTAAGGCCCCAGCTCACCTTTATAATGTTCCTAGTCCACTTTCTTTGTCAGTATTCCAGAAAAAGGAAAACATTTAGAAAGAAGCCTCTGCAAGACAACATTTTGTAATCTGCTGCTTAGCTTCTTTTGACCAGGCTGAGTTCAAAAATCTTACCTTTTTAGAGTTCACCAGGGTATCTGTATTTGACAGGATTTATGAAAACAAAAGGCTTTGTTGAGAAAGTTTGAAGTATAACTCTGGGATGTGGATTATAGTGTTTACTGCACATTAAGTGTTTTAGTGGATATAATAGTTATTATTATAGCCTGTGGAATCAGTTAGACCAGGGTTCAAATGTTTTCACCACATGCTAGACTGTGGCCTTGGGAATGTTATTTATTGCCTGGAAGGCTCAAATGTTAACTAGGAATGGTAAGAACTACCTAGTAACTTAGCATAAATAGTTCATTCATTCATTTAATGTTTTCAAACAGTGCCAGACATTGTTTAATGAACTGGGGATATAATGGTGAACAAGACCGACAGGTTTCCCTGTTGTAGTCTCAAAACTCTCCCTGTAGTAGGTCTGTGTGTGTTGTGAAGGTGTGTGGGGAATAAGAAATAATAAGCAAATAATGAACAGGATAATTTCAAAAAGCAGAAAGAGCTATTCAGCAAAAATACCTGCCTTTTATTAGATGAAACTATCAACTCTATGGTTTGGTCTCTCCTGTCAATCCTGTTAAATGCTGTCAGTCTATTTTCCTTATCACCCTGGCCATGACTTCTGTCTTTTCTGCTTGGCCCTGTAGATTCTTTCTAACCCAAAGCTCATTCTCTGCCTGGCTGTCTGCCTTCTGTGGCTCTTTGCCACTACCTACATTCTCTGTGATGCACAGGGAAGGAGCATTCCCTGTGGACTATAAAATTCTCTTTTTGGGAGAATTCATTCTTGATTGGGCCATAGCACATCTTGCAAAACAGCATTAGACATTTGCCACTCACTGCTCAACAACTCTGGGAGAAATGTTTATTGGAAAGCATACAGTAGTTTTTTGACCAACCATGGTGCAGCCTCCTCCCAAAGGGAAACCTATGTGTATTTCAAGAACATGTTCTGTTTATGTTCCTAGTATCTAACATGATGGGTGGTGCACAGCAAAAGCTAACATGTTCATAAACATGTCTGTTTATGTTCCTAGTATCTAACATGATGGGTGGTGCACAGCAAAAGCTAACAGATAATGGCTAAATTAAATTGTCTTTTTGAGTTTTAATATTCAACTTTTTAGGGTACCAAATCTCCATATTTAGGAAAATAAATTACATAAAAAGTGGAGAGTTTTTATTGTGAAACTGTACCTTCACATTCCCAGTGGAACAGCATAAGGGATCACATGTGTATGTCTGGGGAAACCAGGGTCCTCTGTGGTTCTGGAGGGTGAGGATTAAAAGGAAGCACTAGACAGCCTTTATGAATATCTCCTGACTTCTCTCTGCGACCTGAGATCACTGAACTTTTACTCATTTTGAGATCATCTTCCCAATCATGCCACAAACAGCGTAAGGCTAAGTTTGCCCTGGAACTGTTGCAGGGTTGCATGAAGATAAAAGATTAAAAACTGGGAAGGTAGGTCACAGAAGGAAGAGCCCATGTGGGCAGATTTTCATTCCATTCCTAGTCTTTATTACAGCAGTTCTCTAGGGCTGCAACCTTAGAAAAGGATTCCTATAACACAATGTAGGTACCCATCAGCAGCGGACTGGATAAAGAAAATGTGGTAGATATACACCATAGAATACTACGCAGCCGTAAAAAAGAACAAGCTCATGTTCTTTGCAGCAATATGAATGTAGCTGGAAGCCAATAACTTAAGTGAATCAATATAGAAACAGAAAATCACTATGTTTTCACTTACAAAAAGGAGCGAAACCTTGGGTAAATGGGGGTATAAAGATGGGAACAAGAAACACTAGGGATTCCAAACAGAGGGAGGAAGGAAGGGGGACAAGGGCTGGAAAACTTTCTGCTGGGTACTTTGTTCACAACCTGGGCGATGGATCCATGAGGAGCCCAAACCCCAGCATCATACAATATACCCTTGTAACAAACTGATGGTGTAACCCCTGAATCTACAATAAAGTTATTTTATTTAAAAAATAAAATCATTATAAAGATTCTTAAAAAGAAGGATTCCTAGACAGGTGCGGCCAAACCAATTTTTTGAAATGTTGACGGGCCGCCGCCGCCAGTCACTTACGCTGCGATAGCCCATGTCCCAACATTCCCGACTAAATTCTCTCCAAAAAGCAGCTCTACTCTTCGATGGCCCCGTGCTGGGTTCTCCCTGTAAGTTTCTAGGGAAAGGCGCATGAGTTGTCCGGTCTCGACTCTTCCTGGCGTGGGAACCAGGGCTTCTGATCAGACGCAGCGCGGCAGGAGCTCCGTGGTCCGCGGGCGCAGCTCCCAGTGCGGCCCGCGCAGGTCCTGGCGCTGCGCTCCGCCTCCGTGCTGGGGCCCTTAGGGCGACCCCTCTCCTTCCGGCGCGTGAACCGCGAATGTGCTTTGTGTTTGGCGCCCCTGAGAAGGATGCCGTCTTAGGTCTCTTCCCACTGGACGTGTGGTGGGGGCAGAGATTCCCTTGGTCCATCACACTTCCACCCGCCCCCGCCCCGGGGTTGGGGCGCTGCGAGGGAGATATCCTTGATGGACTCCCTCTACGGAGATCTCTTTTGGTACCTGGACTATAATGAAGACGGAACCTTGGACATTTCTGAGCTTCAGGAAGGCCTGGAGGACGTATGGGTCATTCATTCTCTAGAAGAAGCGAAGGTGGGTCTCACTGTGGCTGTGGTCAGAGAGGTGTTGGGGCTGGGAGCCCTGGAGAGGTATTGGGCAGAGAGGGCGAAATTTACATGTTTTCGAGCTTGACCCGGGCCCGCTGCAGTGTTCAGGTGGCTGACCAACCTTACTGTTTATTAAGAATAGCCGAGTATGGTGGTGGGTGCGCGGGAGGCTGAGGCAGGAGAATCACTTGAACCAGGGAGGCAGAGGTTGCAGCAAGCTGAAATTGCATCACTGTTCTCCAGCCTGGGTGAGAGGGAGACCCTGGAAAACCGGTGTTTTTTTTTTTTCTTTTTTCTTTTTTTATTGGAACATTGATTTTATTGCACACTCCGTCACAGTCGTCTTTGTTAATTGAGAAAGGGAAAAGTGAATGGTTCCTCCAGCGGTACAGTTTGGCAGATAAAAATGCAGGGGCAAAAGGACATATGTACAACAATAAGGGCCTTGTAACAGAAAGGGTGAGGACCGCTGTCCAGGTTTAAAAAAAAAAAAAAAAAAAAAAAAAGCTGCTTTGACTCTCTGGGTAGGAAGAATTCCTGGTGCCCTGGGGTCTGAGCCCACAGGTTTCAGGACTGATGTCCCCCCTTTCTCTCACCCTCTGAGGTCTGCAACAATAGCATCAGAGTGTTTTCTTCTCCAGCCGGATGGACCCCCACGGGGTCCCACAGAGGCGAGGAAAGGCCTGCAAAAAGTCTCAGCACAGGCGGATGGGCTGGTTAGCAGTGGAGTGGACGGGGGCCCAGGGGATTCCTTGCATCAGCAGGTGCCGGGAGAGGACTCGAGGGGACGCGGCTACACGTTCTGCTCGACCGCCCGTTTCGCCGCCTCCGCCCCGCCCTCCCCCGCGCCGCTGCCGGCGTCTTGTGTCCCGGGCCCGGGACTCCGTGCTGCGCATGCGCTGGCACCGCGCCACGGCCTCGCCGCCATCTTGAGTGTGGCCTTTGGCTGTCTTCTCGGGCCCAGCTTGCTTTTGGCCCCCTCCCCTTCCTCCCATGCGTCCGGTCCCTGCCCCTGCTGTTCCTTGGGGCACTGAGGAGGGAGTGACAGCTTTGTAGGCCTGCGGGTGGACTGAGGAAGGAATGAATTCACTGGCACGCCCCCGCCTCAGTTTCCCCCGCCGGCACACCAGCAGGAGCCACATACTCTTGGTGGGCGGTGCGCGGCGGGGTTGGACTGGTGTTTTTTTTCTTAAAGTCTGGAAGACATTACTGTTAAAACCAC